ATAAAAATAAATGTAATATAAGCTTTTTCTGAAAGTTTATTAGATCAGTTATTCTTTATTCCAAAAGTCTTTGACTTATAGGTAACAACCGTAAATGCTAAAGAAAAACAGAGAAACATTTTACCAGGGAGTAAAGGATGGGGCAACACTCTGTAAGTAGAATCCTCCCCAGCAAAATAAAAAAATTTCACATTTTTGTATAGTTTCTCCCATCATTTCTTTTAAGTGGCCAAAGTTCTTGAAGTATTTTTCCATCACAGCACTGAGTTGTGAAAGTAACATTGTCTGCTGGCTGACTTGGCTGGCTCTCAGGGACGTGAAAGATGGAACTTTAATATCCAGCGAGTGTCTACCTTGCATTCGTCTGATAACTTGCTGATGAACGCAGCATATAAAGAATGTCGGTATGATGTCAAAAGGAAAACATAAAAAATGGGGAAAAAAAAATTTTAAGACACTCCTAACCCGATTCTTTTATGATTCAAGAAAATAATAAAAAAGAAATAAAAAATCAAAGAAAGTCAAACTGAATGAAATAAATGTGGGGTGGGGGATATCTTGGAAAAGAGAAAAAAAAAAAAAAAATGGTAATGCCATCGTCTTTTTGCATGTTTCTCATTTTTTTTTTTTTGACTTCCATCTCAGCCTCACATTAAAGATCTGAGATGAAACGATGGTTAAGATCTATGTGAACCAATGTTCAAATGTGGCATATTGTGAGTAGAGACATCTTCTTTCAGTTTTCTCTTTGGTTTTTGGTGAACCATGGAAATTCTCTGAAACTGAATTGAACTGATGAAGGTATCACAATTAACATTGCCATGGAGACACATTGCAAATGAATTTGCAATGGAAATACATAGCATGTAATTTAAATACACTGTACACTGTGAGTCTAATTCAATGTCCTTGACATTTACTTACATTAGCTGTGTGTGGCTCAAGGTTAAGTCAATAAAGAAAATGAGGGTTATGCCAATTTCCTAGTTGAGAGAGACTTGGAATTTAAATGTATGTGTCTGTACACACACACACACACATATATATATATATATATATATATAGTTTCACAGTGCTTGACTCACTGAGAAAAGAATGTATTAAATTATTTATCTCTGTTATTATTTTATACATATATTAAATATTTAATGAACTCCTTAAATACCTGTGTTAAAAGAAATTTTATTTAATGTGATTGTTTTTTTCTTTTTGTAACTGTGTCTTTCTTTGCGGTGCATGCTGTATTATATTTTCGTATTATGTTGATAGTTGTACTGTAATGTGATGATCAATATGTGCACAATAATTTTCAGTCAGTGACAAGTTAATCTACGAGAGTTTGGTGAATATATAACCAATGTAAGAATTTCTGTCTTATAATATTGATATTTGTATGAACTCCTCTGTATAAATTTAAATTGTAGTATACTAATGCCAAGCTGTGACAAAATCTCATCTACCATACAGACTACATTTAGTTCTTTTACAACTGAGATGGTCGAGTACGCAAAGAAAAACATAAACTCTAGACAGTTTATTTGCAATTTTGTTTCCAGTGTGCAAAAACTTATTTGAAAATTATAAAAATACAAAAAAAAATTTAAAACAACAGATCATGTTGGCTAAATTTAAGAAAACTTGTTTAAATGTAATCTAAATTCTGACAAAATACACTTTAAATATAGAAAAAGTGAATGATTGTCTTTGTGTATATGTATATATATATAATATATTATAAATTAACTGATTTAGAATATGTTTTTTTTCGCTACACAGTTCTAACCATGTTTCAAAAATGGAAGCTAAAAGCATCAAATTTAATTTTGTAATTAAATCAAAGACATTAGTTCCATTTCATCCTTAAGCAAATTTTGGAGTAACTTATTTTTAAAATTACTGGGCTTTAAAGGCACTGCAAAAATTCATAATTCACGTTTCCAAGGATACAGAGAAATCCATTCATCCAGACAAGGGGTGGTTGCGTGTTCATTATCACTGTATTTTGTAGTATCAGTTATTAGTTACTGTTCTTTTTATTTATATATATATACATATATAATGTCCCTTGCTGGGCTAAAGAGCCACATTCGTTCAGCACATCAGTAGATTTTCTCCAAGAAAGATATGTAGTAATGCCCGTGCTCCATGTTTGGAGATATATAACCAACATCATGCTGACCATGTTTGAAAATTAAAAACATTCCCATCCCAATATATACATATCTATAAAAAGATCTACATTCAGTTAAATGAAAAAACATCCTTCATAATGACTAATAGATTAGTTGAAAGTCATCAGATTCAAAGATCATTTCAATAGTTTTTAATGAAAAGCTCAATTGCAGTGCTTTGTCAGTCATTTTCAATGAAACTTGTATAAAAGAAGACTTGTTGCCCAAATACACAATTATATATAAATGCTGGGTGTTCTCTTCAATGTTCACTTTTACATTTATTTTCACTCTATCCCTGATAACCCCTGATTTTAACCCATAAATATAGCATAACTTAAAACTATATTTTTATCATTGGGTTAATATAAATATATATATATATATATATATATATATATATATATATATATCTCTCAGTTTATGATTTTGTAACACTTTTATAATGTTTAAAAGAAAAAAATCCTTTAAACATAAGAATCTCAAAACCAAATCTCCATACAGACATTAAAAGATTTACATGGGACTTTTGTTTTTACCAGTACATGTAGTAGATTGCATAATTTTGCCTGGCCAAAAGGATGCAGCCAATCCTAGTGGCTGAAAAAGCTTGTCACATGATCCAAGGAATCCTAACATTTTTTTCTCCTGTCAGCCATTCAAACTAACATTGTTGTTGGAGCCATGATCAGCAAGAGTGTCACGCAACATTTACACTGATTTCTTGTTTAGCTACAAAAAAAAAAGAAATGTAAGTGGAAAAGAAAGGAGTTTTATGATGACAGTTGATAAGATGAACCAGAACAAGAAAGGGGAAAATCTTCAGCCCAGCAGCCCCTCCTCATCTCCCCACAACTGAAAAAAGAAAAAGATATTAAAAGCTTTTAGCTGTTATCAATCATTGATTTGTGTCTTTCGAAACTATAATTTGATTCTTCAATAGTCGTCTTATGACATACAGATAGCACTTAAAATGCCAATCAAGAAAGGGTTACCAGGAGTTTTATTTATTTTTATTTTTTATCTATTTAGTTTTTTATTTATTTTTTATTGTCTTCATGCATGAACAGCTCTGATTTATCATCGAGTCGTACTGCAGAGGGTTTACTTTGGCTGACAAAGTTAAGCAACACTGAAATACCATAGTGCTTGGAAGGGTAACTGTTTGAAACTGTCCATTGCTGTTTCGCATTCAGACATATCACTTTTATTTTTATTTCACTTTATTTTATTTTTACCTTATTTTATTTAATTATTTATTTTTTTAATCATTTGTTTTTTGGGTTTTTTTTTTTAATTGGCATTTTTTATTTTGTTATTATTATTTATTTGTTGTCTTCATGCAAAACCAGATCTGATTTATCTTAGAGTCATACTGTAGAGGGTTTACTATGGCTGACAAAGTTAAGCAACACTGAAATATCATAGTGCTTGGAAGGGTAACTGTTTGAAACTGCCATCTATTGTTTCACATACAAACATATCACTTTTTTAATTTTTATTTTACTTACTTATTTTTATCAGCACATTCTATTTATTTGATTTGTCTGCCCTGCTATTTAACCCTTAGCTGGAGGGATGGATTCATACTTTCCTCAAGCTATTTGTGTAAAAAGGAATGTAACAAATCTTACCAAAATTCAAACTCTGTTGCCAATATCTCATTCCTAGCTGCTAACCATTACAACACTAAGTGTTGTTATTACTGTATTCTGTCTATCCATCACATAGACCACAGTTGATATCATAGTCATTGAAAATTCTACAATCTTTTCACTGACTGCATAGTATGTACTTTGCCAGAGCTACAAACAGTTTTGAATTCAAAGTTGTCTTTCTCCTAGACTCGCTGTCAACCATGGCTTATTATTATGCTATCATTAGTTTTCTTCCATTTTATTGTTACTTTGTATCTCCTCTTTCTTCATTAATTTTTACTGTGGTAATTATATCCATGATAGCCAGGATACAACCCCAAGTTTTTGGAGGATTAGTGATCAGTCCTTGTGGTTAACAGTTTTTGAAGAGAAGAAACACAACAGCCTGTACTGTTTAAGTATATTTAATATCCAAATAGAAAAAGGAGAATTAATTTGTCAACAGTCACTGTAGTAGTAGTAGTAGTAGTAGTAATTTCTTGTGAGTTTGCTGGCCCCATTCCTCTCGTAACCTGATGACACTGACCAGACTTGTGGCGAAGGAGCCACAGTGCTTCATGGTGCCTGATTAACATGGTGGAAGAAAAGAAGAATGGGTCTTTGAATTTGGTACATATAGCCTGGGTCACATAACCCATATGGTAGAGGGCAGTGATTGATCCTTTCTTTAGCCATTCAACATCCTCGTTTTATTCTCTGCTTGATTAGTCTCATTTTCTGATTGATTATTCTAAATTTCAATATTGCAGCTAGTCTAAGTCAGAAAATAACGAATTCACTTTCAATGTGTCTTGAACTCACATCATATGCCTTAGGAGACTATCTTTCATGGATGTTGCTTGAACCACCTCAGCCACAGTAGAGCACAAAACATTTGTCATTGTCCACCTCTTTCTCTTTCTTTGATTCTTTTGTTCTGCCATGCTACAATCATTGTTTATTTTTTAATTAGTGTTGTAACAGAAAGACAAAGCATCTTTAATTTTAAAAATTTAAACTTTAAAAATTTTTAATTTAAATGTAAGAAAATTTTAAATTTAAAAAAAAAAAAAAAACTTTCTTATTTGCAGCCGTGCGGTTTGGTCGGGTGCCAAAAAGCGAAAAGGCTCGTATCATGAAACAAATGCAGATGGTCAATTCACAAGGCCCCACTTCAGAGTTCGACAACTTGATGCAGAACACAGACGAAATTGTTCGGTCGGTGTTGGAGGCTCACCAAAAGACCAACGAATACTCACGCGAACGTTTGCATAATTTGCGAAAAGCAGCCATTGAGAATAATAACTTTGAGTGCAACGTCTTAGAACAAACAGTAAGTATTAATGCTATCAAGTTTTACTCACTTTTTCGTTGTTTTATTTTATTCTATTTTTAGTACAATCTCTGTCCCATAATAGTTGTTATATTTAGCATATCAAATATGTATGCAAATGTAACGATTATTATGGACAGAGTTAATAAAAATGTATTTTTAATCTGTAGAGTGAGTGGCCAATGGTTAAATGTAAATAAATAGCAGAACTACCCAACAAACAGAATTAACAAAGTTTACAAGAAAAAACAAGAAAAAGAAAAAAACAGCAAAAAAATATAAAGCAAGCAAACAATATATGCAAGGCAAATTAATAGTAAAAAGACAAGTTAACAGTAATAAGGCAAAACAACAGTAATATGGTAAGAAGTTCACAAACTAAAAATTGGGGTTAACACACACGAGCAATTTCAGATGAACAAACCAAAGCAGGTCAGACTGGGACTGAGTCAGATGAAACCAAGAAGCAGGCTATTTTATTGGCTAGGATAAAATCCCAGCTTGCATTTGTGTGCTTCTGTCTATAAATTAGGGAGTGGAAAGTATTTTGCAATCATTCTAAACAGGATTAGAACCAACATAAACAACTCTATTTTATCCAAGCATATGCCTTTCTCTACGTAATTGTATCTTTTCATGATTGTAGTTCTACTGAAAATTTTCGAGTGCCAATGATTGGGTTCTCCTCTATGTTGCAATTTAATGCAAAAAATCTGACAGTTAAATCAACAATTGCAACTGTCCTCTGAAATGTCTCAAACAGGTGGATGTTAGCAAAATTACTGGCAAAAAATATAAAATAAATGGTACATTCACTCAACTATTGAGAGCAACACTAAATATCAGCTGGATACAATGCATACCCAATACAGAAACATTTGGGAATCTATCAAAAGATTATGAACTCAATCTGTGAAAAAGTCAAGTTTACTGGCCATTGCTGGAGAGGTAAACAAAAAGTTATGTATCAGCTTATACTGTGGGATCCAGATCATGGAAACAAGAAAAAGGTAGACTAGTAAGAACCTTCATGAGTCGACTTGAAGATGACACTGGAACCCAAAAGAAAGAACTAGGTAGATAAGAGAAATGGTTGGCAAAGAATTGGTCAGAAGTGTTCATCCGAGGACGATCAAATAAATAGATAGGACTCTCAAATCCTTGACCATTACAATCTTCAAATTGAAGGTCAACAATTATCTATCCTACATATCCTCATAATATGCAGTCCTTGCTCCCTCCCTATTTGTTCTTACAACATTCCCATTCAGTAACCCTCTGCCTTGAATGGCACTTTGGCCTTGCATTGGATGAACAATAGTATCTAAAAAGAAAGATATAGCCAAAATCTGAAGTCATTCACATGCAGATTTTATTTTAAGCAACAAGTTACCATCTTTAAATACACTAGTTTGAGACAGTATGGTCAAATATTGTTCCACTTATCAAATTCTGAGATCTGCTTCAGCAGCTGTGAGGATTAGTGTAGAATAATGCCTTAAAATAGCCAGAATCTACAATACTTGTATCTACCATTATAACACCTTAAATGAAAACAACAGCTGATAAATGATCATGATGTAGTAATAATAATCTTCATCTTTAGATCTGTACATGAAATATGTTTTTGAGTAAAAGTCTGTAAAAAAAACAGAAACACTTTTGATAGAATGTAATATATAAAAATATTATGGCCTTTGCTGGATAAGTAAACAAGAAGTTATGTCTCAGCTTATAATATGGGATCCAAATTATGGATCAGAAAAATCAAAAGTTAGACCAGTAAGAAGCTTCAGCAATTAACTCATAGACAACAAATAATAAAAGAACTGGACAGAGCTATCGATGGCAGAAATGATTGAAAAATGTGGCCAAAAGTTTTTGTTTCAGAACTATCAGATAGACAGATAGATAACCAACAACTGATGGTCATCCACTTTTAGATTTTATTTCAAGGGTCAAGTTACCATCTTTAAAATACTTATGCCACTTTGGGATAGTAACAGTCAGATATTGCTTCATTTCCTTCTACTCATTGAATTCAACAAGCTGTTTCATCAGTTTTGAGACTCAGTTCAAAATAGAGCTTTAAAATTCTCAGAATTCTTCTATCCAACTGAATAACCTCTCACCCCCATGAGTGATTATACTATAGGTAGTAACTACCTATAAGTATCTCTAAGTCAACAGACTACAGAGACTAGCTGGGATCTGTTCCAGCTAAACAGTTAAACTCTGTCTTCGGGCAGAGAGGAACCCGGACAAGGCTCTGCCGAAGGGCAGAGTCTCGTTTCGGGAGATAGAATGACCCCTGAACCTGTTTCGGGGAACAAAGGGGAATAAAAAAACCAGCCTATGG